AAAGTATTCCCAATGTTAAGCTTGGAAATCAATGGAAGGCTCTCAAAAATCAAGGTCAATGCCTAAAGCTTCAAGCTCCATCTATGGAGGTTAGGGTTCTAATAAGAAAGAAAATGATCTAATGTGAAAATGTGTGAGTGGAGGAAATAGAAATCCTCCACTCACTAGGTGATCCTACACCATGGTCAACACACATACCTATGGTCAATTGCACAAAAACCCTTCTTTAAAACCATAATCCCAAAGTGGCCCAAAAGTAATTTGCAAGGCTTAATTGTGAGCCTACACTTGTCACAAATCTAAGGCTCCATCCTAGGCTTAATCTCAAGCCTACACTTGTCAACCATCCAAGCTAACAAGTGCACCAATCCTAGGCCAACAAGTAAGTGAATCTCCACCCTTCACATGCCATCATCCAAGGCATCAAAGTGTTTCCACACAAATGTCAACAAGTGGATCAATGAGAGTGTGACACTTGTCACACTTTTCGGAAATTGCAAAAAGGTCATTTTTGAAAATATCTTCCAATTTTAATTACAAAATGGTCCCTAAGACGAAAAATAATTACTTTACATAATTACTCTAAAACCCCACAAGTTAAGATTAATTACCAAAAGTCATGCATCCATTCCTTTTACAAGAAAAGTAAACATTTAATATGCTTTTCTACAAAGTAAAAATACACATAGTATGAAATTTAAATATCATGGATGCCGGCAAAACTAGAATTAAATCCGAACACGAAACGTGAGGTTGTGCCAACAATTTGACAAACGAGAAAAGACAAAAGATGAATAGTGTCGAAAAACAAAAAGTGTGGAAATGACTCGGTCCTCAAAGAAAATTGTCAACTCAAAGGAAAGAGTCTCAGAAACCATTTCTGGGCACTCAAGACGACACTAAACGACAAGAAACAGAACTCGGAAAAGAAAACTAAACTGAAAAAAATTTATCCGTAAAATTCTAAAGAAAAAGGAAAGGAAAGAAATGACTGGGTCATTACATTATATTTTGTTATTACTTTTTTTTTTTTTCTTTTTCTTTTAAAAAATTAAGATGCTTAACTCTTTCATCTAAAAAAATTAAACCAATCTCTTTTCCTTAAAAATAAAAAATATGGTACCGGTATAACTTTATGCATTTTAAATTATATATCAAATATTATGCATTTCCCAACATAAAAGGGAAAAATAATAATAATAAAATAAAGGGAAAAAAAATAATAAAACAAAGGGAAAAAGAAAAAGAAAAAGGCATGCATGAAGTTAAGATGCATAAAGTTATACTGGTACCTATTTTCTTTTTTGTTGGGAAATGCATAATATTTTATATATAATTTAAGATGCATAAAGTTATACCGGTACCATATTTTTTATTTTTAAGGAAAAAAGATTGGTTTAATTTTTTTAGATGAAAGAATTAAGCATTTTAATTTAAAGATAAAAATAAAAAAGAAAAAAAATAATAACAAAATATAATTTATTTGAAATATATGTATTGAATAAAAAAATCATTTTAGGCGTTTACATTTTTAAGAAGTTGAGACATTTATAAAGTAAATAACAAAACAAAAAAAAAAAATTGAACAATATAAAGTTTTTTTTTACCTTTTTTTTATGCATAAATTATTCATGAGGGTAGATTGGTCCAATTTATTAAATTGTAAAGTTAAAAAAGTCTCTAAAATGGTTAAAGGATAATTTAATCAATTTTTCATGTAAAGGGATATCTTTATCCATTTTTAAACTTTCAAACCTCAAGGAGTGTGACTGTACTTTACCCATTTATAAATTAATTAAAATTATATGATTGTCTCCTTCAATAAAAATAAAATGAAAATTTACATTTATATTATCTATGTCCACGCCAAGTTCGTGTCAAAAATTTGACGCGTCATCATACCGCATACGTATTCATATTTCTTAGCCTGATATGAATAGCATCCACGCGAGAACAATCTATTGTTTAAAGAGTAGGACTTTCCGATGATTTAGAGAATTATTATTGTTGTTGTAGTATCAGTTAGCAAATTGTTTACCCCATTAACGAAATAAAAGTAAGAGAATAAAATTGAAAAAAAATAAAAATAAAAATACATAGTCAATAATTGAAATTGAACCGTGAATTAACAGTTCCGAACCCGAACCCAACTGGAATTGTAAATTAACAGCTCCTAATTTTGGAATCGGAAAACAACCAAAATGACAATTCTGTTCGTTTCGTACCTGCTCACCAGTTCCAACCAAAGTAGAAAAAGAAAAACCATTACGCATAGCGTATGCAAAACTCGAGATAAATATATAAAAACCATTACCCATTACCTACTGTCAATCCACCTGCTTAAGATGCTGGGAGGGAAAAAAAATGAAGTTTGTTAACCTAAATTTTTTATCAGTGGATCGAATAAGGGTTGCAAAATTGGATAGAGACACACATAAACAAATATATGTTGTTGAATATACACCATAATATTGATTTATGATGCTACTAAATTTATGCACGCACATTATGTAAGTGGGAACACTGATGTACTTCAAGATACTGTCTATTGCTTCAAAATGAGTCCCAGACATTGGCTATCACCGATCTTGTCCGATCTTGGCGAGCACATCTGTGCACACTGATTGCTCTCCAAGAGCATTGCTAAGGTGACACAATATGACTTTGGCCAATATATCAGAAATGGGATCTCTGTGGGTGAATCCATATTGTCATCGAACCAATCAGAATAAAACGTGTTCTCTCTAAGCGCCAAAGCTTCCTCGTGCCAAGGACTACATGTCTCCTTTGAAATAGCAGCCCCTAACCTCAAAATTCCCCTACTCCTTAATCAAATGGACAACGTGAGGGCAGTGATAGAACAGTAGACATTCCGACAATCATTGCCTCCAAGAAAGAAATTGCCCTCATAAAAGTTTACATCAGACTACATGGTAGAAGAACGATCAATGACACCAAAAGTAAACTCTGGACCAAAATTACTCAAAATCAATTAATAATACATCTTTTTCTGCATTTAAATCTAACTGTAACCTCTACAGAACCTAAGACATGTTATACATTGCCTGAGCGTAATTAGGAATCTCATCATTCAAACATATTCAGGAATGTTGTTTCGTAAATAAAGGCATGTTATTTGTTCAACTTGTCCGTATGAACATCCTTCTAATCACGTCTAAGGTTCGACTCCTCTTGAGTGCAAAAAATTCCTTGAGGGGGGGTGTGTGAGTATGTATAAATGGGGAGATAATAAAGACCTTTAGAATATATAATAAAGAATGACTTTGCCTTCCTTGAAACCAAATCCTAAATGATCCATGAGACTGTTTTCCACTTCTCCTAAATACAAATATTCCATACACAATAAAGCTATTTCCGGTCTGCAGCACGCTACATATAACTTCAAAATACACTAATTGAAAAATGTGAGCCCTTAGTTCTTCTTCTTATGAAGATTTGCATATTAATAGATCTCTCATACATGAAAGTTAAATTCAGTGAAAAAGGTTTTACCATAAGAAAAATACTTGCCTACTCACCAGTGAGTAGGAAGTTCATGCTTACCATTGATATGGCTCAACAACAAAGTGACAAGTGTCCCAACAATATAAAATAAAATAAAAATAGAAGATTTGAGAAGTTATTTGGGTTAAACCCAAGATCCAAATCAAACCCATATCTAATTCTCTCTTTCTCATACTACTCTATTGTCCTAATTCCCAAGGAATAACTACTTCAAGTATCTTGCTCAAACCAAATCCATGGAAGGAATTGGATTAGAATTTTCGATTGTGGGTAATAAGATTTCATGTGTGAACTAATATATATATATATATTGATATTGTTCTTTTGAAGCACGACTTGTGTTGTTTAGCCTTTCTTTCGTTGCCCTCTTGTTGACAGGAAAGAAAACGGAAGAAAGAAAAATCAAATTGTTTGTGTAAAGGTAGATGCTTGAACTTGTTAATGGGGTCTTTTGTCCGTCCTCTATCACAGGTGAAAATAAATATGAATCTATGATTGTCTTATAATTAATTAACTAAAAAGAATTCTTAAGATAAACAGATTTTATTTTGATACCAAATCATGACTAAATACTTTCTTTTATTTATTTGAATAATGTTAGTAAGCCTATTTTAACTCAAATACTCTAGCAAGGAGTGACTAGGTTTTCAATAGAGTTTTAAGCCTCACCATCATCGAAAATCTTAATCAAATTCCTTCTATGGAATTTTTTTTCCCCTAGTTTTCTTTGGATTTGACATGAGCAAGATTCTTGAAGTTGTGATCCCATATTGTTGCGCCACATCGGTGGTAAGCATGAGTAGACAAGTATTGTCCTTTACATAATATATGAAAGAAGTGACAGATTAGGACACGTAGGACTCTGTAGCAATAAGGAGATCATAGAAAGTTAAACCTGGAGACAAAAGTTTTACATGAATGAATAGACAAGTAAGGGCACATAGGACTATTTAGCCATAATGAAATCAAAGACACATGAAAATTACCCCTAGCCCTACATAAATAATAAGTCATCTTACTAGTAAAACAAGGCAATCCACCAAACCAGGGTAAATGGTATATAAATACACACACCAACAATCACAAACAACCTCATGAGTATTCTGCGTTAATAGAAAAGAACTAATAATTGAAAGATACAGCCACTCAGATGGAGCTATGAAGCAATTCTGCTAGTAGTCAAAATTTAACAAAAAAATAGAGCATATTTCGTAACATTGCAGATGAAAAACGTAATTATGAAAATTTCCAACATGCGACAAAGTCGACGGAGAAAGCTGATGCAATCTTACCTCTTCTCATACCGTTTCAGCCACCAAAAAACCTTATAGAAGTGATTATAGAATTAGTTCTTAGATGGCAGACCATAAAGGCGGCCAAATCATTTTGATAGAAACTCAAATACACCATATTGTTAGTCCTCTGCTGTTCCCAGCATATCTAGCAGTTACCCACTTCTCTGATTCCACATTGTCCTACAATCTAGTATTGAATCCTTCAAATCCTATCTCACCCTCATACGCTTTTATTACCTCAGGAGCTACCTCCTTATACTTGGTCAGAAACCTGGTCTCAAAATACTTTTTGTTAAAAGTTAACGCCCAAACCAATTCTACCTCCTTCCTAATCAAACCCTTTGACATTAGAACTTGCAGAACAGAACATCTTGGAATGATTCTACTTTCCAAACTAAATTTAAAAAGATATGGGCATTTAGCAATCTCTGATGCTCTTAACCCCGCCTTGTTTACGAAGAAATCCATGAGTTTCCTAATCTTCTTCTCTGAGGAAATCATACACAGCGGTTCCAATTTGAATGCCGAATTAAAATCGCTTTCAGACCAACCAAAGCTCATATAAGCTTCCTTCTTCTTCTCCCAATTGAGTTTGCTAATTGCCGACATTAAACTGACAGCCAATAAGAATGATCGTGTTTTGGGATCAAAACCCATTTCCTTAATTGCATCAGTAACCTCTTTAAACACATCAACACTCAACATTAGTGCGCAAGGCTTTAAGATGATCATTTTCCCAATATGGGATTCAGGCACACTATGAGCCCTCAAGGTGTAGATATTTGGCACCATAACTTTTTCAACATTGAACTGTAACACACGGCTACATCGTTTGAGAGCACAAATTAAATTCTCATTGGTCCTTATGTATCGTTTAAGGAAATCACATGTGGGTTTGATTTGGTTTTCTAAACTGCTCCTTAAGACGCTATTTGAACAAAGAATCCTAGGCAAATCAGGTCCTACAATACCCAAAGATTCAAAATACTCAATTTTGGGTCTCAAAGTTCTCTCTGGATCAGCCAAAATTAAAGTTGGGTATGTAGAAATTAGGCGTGAAATGTGTTTTTCAGTGAAGGCATGCGACCTTAGGAGCTCAAGAACCGAGTCCGGTTTCTCTGTGCTCTTAATGTTGATCTTCTTAGAAGCTGAGATAGCAGATTCTAGAGACAACCCACATGACTTTGTGAGGTAAGAGATCGTGAAAGCTTGTTTCTCAGTGAAATTTGAGTTGCTTGCAATTGATTGGGTTTCAAAAAAACGAAAAAATGTGGGTGTATTTTGTTTGATTCTGTGAGTGTCGTATATGAAATGAAAGATGGGTGATAGAGACTTACAGGATCTGAAAGTCATAGTGTTAAAGCGAATTCAATGTTGCCCTCTGTGCTGTGCAGCCTGTGCTCGATCTTCCACAAGTTTCACGATTAAACCCTAGCCCTAGGGAGAGTGACTCAGAAACACATATTCCTTCATTGTGAGTTGAGTTAACGAGTCATAATCTATGTGACCCAATAGTCAACATCTCAGAACATAAAAGTTTTGGGCCTGTATTGGGCTCTTAATCAGGGTGCAAGGCCTCTCCCTGTATTTAAAATCATTCCTAATAGGTTGAGGGACGAATTTAGAAAGGGATTTTAAAATAATGGGGTGGCAAGGTTCGACACGACCTGTCGATATGATTTGCAAGTTGAGTAGGTTTGAGTTGAGTTTAAACGAATTCGAGTTGTTAACGGATTAACATAATTAATTTGTTTAGTCAATCGTATCGTGTTTTGGTTGAAAAATTCAACCTGTATAACTTATTTATACCCGTTTAAACATGTCATAAATAAATTTATATTTAAGTTCCAAAATAACTATCTAATATCTTGTAATTTGCTCTTTTGTAAATTAAAGACTATTTAATAATTTGATTTGATTGAAACTTATATTTTTTTAGTTGTTATTGTTTTATTGAGTATTATTAATAATTTAAATAATATAATATTTTATTTTACTAAAAAGGTCATTAAATGTGTAACTCGTTTAATAAACAGATTAATTCGTAACTATTTTTTAAAGATTCAATATCGTTACAACAGAATGAGGTGGTACTGACATTTGTGAGTTTACATGTGTAATAATGATTTACGTTTTAATTTATAAGTAGGCCATATTTAATAACGTCGTTCAACACCTAAAAAGGTCAACGATTTTAGAAAATTAGTCTTAAAAACCACATATAACAACAATTACATAAACAATGATTGCTCTGTTCTTATCATCATTTTGTTAGCAACTTGGTCTTGGTGTTGCGAGTGTCTTCACACCAAATAAAACTAATTCAAATCTCTGTGCTCCTTGAATTACCGAATGAAGTATTTGATTCGGCACATTAAGAAATCTATCTGTTTTGGTTTCTTAACTTTGTTATGCGCCGAAAAAACATAAAACAAAGCAAATGCATGCACAAGAAGTGGGAGCACTGATGTACTCCAAAGATATAGTCTATTGTTTTAGAACATGGTTCTCCGTAACGTATCGGTACGTAATTTTTTTTTGAGGATCCGATACCATTACATATTTTTTTAAATCGACTGATTTACATCAATATTTGCTCAAGTCCATTACATTGAGACCGCTAACCATGCTTCAAAATGCTTATTTGCATTTGTGGATGGCAATGGTGTTTAATCTGACGCCAAACATTAAAAACATAAAGCAATAAAAATTAAAAAAAAAAAAAAAAGAGTATCATGATTTAAATCATAGAAGGGAAAAAAAAAAATGGCCACAAACAAGAAATTTTAGTAGTTGCCGGATTTTGTCAGCAACTTCATGATGGCCAAGGCAGGTGGATCAAAAACATCCTATAAATTAGGAATCTCATCAATAAAAAATATTCTGAAAAGTTGTTACATAAATAAAGGCATGTTATTTGTTAAACTTGTCCGAACGAACATCATTTTATTTTATTTTATTTTTGTTGTTGTTGTTGGAAACGGGAGTATTAAAAACATAAACTTTGAATGAGATTTGAAATAGATTCCGCTAATAATTTTTTACGGATCTCTAGACGAGCGTATTTCTTTCCGTAAGGAGATGAACGTGGTATATTTACTTTCTCAAATCCGTTTCCGGGTGAATGAGAAATTAGTTCCAAAGTGTAGTGTTTTGATAAGCTTAAATGGGTATGCAAAATGTGGGAAGTGTTTGTCCCACATGAAAAAAAAAAAAAAAAAATGTTAAAACAAATTGAAATTTAAATAAGCTGAGTTTAGGATTTGGGCTTGGGCTTGGGCCTAATTGTAAAGTCCAGATTATTCTTTTTTGGAATTTTTGATTGGGCCTAATTGTAGGCTGAGCTTATTTAAATGGGTTTCACAAATGGGTGGGTTTTTTGGGTGATTGGTTTTTTGAATTAAAAAAAAAAAAAAAAAAAAAAAACTACTTTTTAGTTTTTCTAAAAGGTTACACCTTTTAAATTAAAAAACTATATTTTAGTTTTTCTAAAGGGTTACACCTTTTAAATTAAAAAACTACTTTTTAATTTTTTCAAAGGGTTACACCTTTTTCCAAACCATCATAACCTATGGTTGCACCCACTTGAAAAGGCACATTGTAACCTATTGGAATGGATGTGTCTATTGGTGAACAGACATCATGTGAACCATTGCAACCTATTGGAATAGATGTGTCTAGTGGTGAACAGACACCATGTGAACCATTGTAACCTATTGCAATGGTTGTGTCCAATAATGAAGAGATACACCCAATCCGAAAAGACATTTCTGTTTCTATAAATACCCCCCTTTGGATCATTTGCAAGTTGTTCATTTTCATTTTCTTCTATCTCCCTCTCTAGACTTGAACCTAACCCAAGTGGGTTCAAACCATAGGTTAAGTGGTCCGAACCACTTAGACCCTAATCCAATTTCATCGAGCCATATTAAGATTGGTCCGAACCATTTGATTCGAATTGCACCCAATTCAGCATTTATATAGCATAGATACATTTTTGAGTCAGAGAGAGTATTACACGGAGAAGGTTCGTCGTATCCACGAGTTTGTAGTGCTGCTACTGGTGGATGTAGACCGTTGTATCCTGGGAAATAGACGCCACTGAGTCTGTTAGCACCATAGCGGGGCGAATCTGTCTTAAGGACATAATATCCAATACTAGCCTCGGTCCAGGTTCTTTATTTATAATTATTATTTCATTAATTTATTTTACATATTTAATTAAATATAGAGTTGCATATTTAATTAATGATTTCTTAGCATATTGTTAATTATCTCATGACATATTAGTATAAGGTTTGTTATATCTTAAATGTCACATGAAGCATATATTTTACTAACAATCTTAAGACAGAATCCTTCCTTCCGTAGATTTTATTATATGTTTCTATTTAAGATATAAACAAGTAGATATTATACTAATAGTTGAGATATGATAAAATAATGTTATATACATTATTATATGATAATATGTTAAATATTAATGCATTCAATATTATGTGAAATTAAAGCATGTTATATAAGTAGATTATTGAATTATTCAATATTGGTTGAATTATTTAATTTTGTAATATGATATTATGAAGTATATGACATTACCTTAAACATGTATTAACTAGAGGTGAAAAAAGGTACTTCGGTACTTTTATCAATAGTTGCACAAAATACTGTTATGTGTATTTGCTACGAAGTAAAGATAAACCTTAGAAATGTTTAAACATTACAAAAGTGAGGTTGAGAATTTGTGAATACAAAACATCATGTGCTGATATTTGTTTAGAATATGGTATCATTCACAAAGAAATGATGAATGCTATATTGATAAGTTCTGGTTTAACTCAAAATTTGTGGAGGGAAGTTCTACTTGTTGTAAATTATTTTACTCAATAAAATACCTCTAAAGAAAACGAATGTGACACCATATGAATTATGGAAAAGTCGAAAACCTTCCTATAAATTCTTTAAAATGTGGGGGTGTCTAACTAAGGTTGTACTTTCTTCTAAGAAAGTTAAAGTGAGACCTATAATGTGGCAACCTTGTGGGTGGGTGTGCCGTGGGCGGGTGTAAGAGGCATTGACATGTTATCACATTGAGCAAGTTACAGGTGCACAGTCCCACACCACCTACGTAAGGGAAAGGTAAAATGATTTTATGTAGTGGTGTTATCTCTCATTGGTACGAGGCCTTTTGAGATAAAACCCAATAATAAAATCGTGCGAGCTTGATCCCAAAGTGGACAATATCATACTATGTGATGGAGTGGATCGTTACATAAAACCTTTGATAGGTTATAACATCAGTGCATATCATTTTCTTGTAGGCTAGAACGTTTACATCTTTTGGTCCTAATTTTCTAGTATGTTTATTGGAGAATGAGCCACAAATCTTTTTTCTTAAATTAATTATGTGATATAATTAATCATGTGATATAATATGAAATTATACTGTTATGCAAATTCAATATTATTTTTACAAAAGTTTATTATTTGAGATTATAATATTGAGATATGTAGTTGAATTACTTAGTGTACGTAGTAATTTAATTTTACAATATAGCTTATTTAATGTGTGATTTTATTAATTGAATATGAGTTCATGACTGGTTTGTGTATTTAATACAACAAACAAAAAATTAACTAGTTTATCTATATCAATTCTCCCAATAGTCAAGGGAAAAAGATCTATATTAGTGTCTAAGACACGTATAGCTGTGAATGGGCTGAATAAGAGAGAGATTTCCGATAACTCTGAAGGGTTCAATGAAAAATGTTATGGATACACTAAGCAAGTACACCGAGATATGCTAAATCAAGCTAATCAGCTCTGGTGTACAATTTAGTTAAAAGCTAAAATGTTACTGAGTTGCAAACTAGTTAGCTTAGCTACAAGTTAAAATGATTAATGAAGTGTACAGAACCTAAGAGGAAAATTTGTTAATTGGTTATAGCTCTATACTTGGTAGTAAAAAAAAAAAACACGAGGGTGATGAGTAGTCATTTTAGTTATAAGCTATTTGAGCTATACATCATATCTGCTCATGTAGGAGTGAATAATACTACTTGTAAAGTAGTAATTTTTGAAGAATAATTTTCAAAGCAAATTACTCTACTACCAATGTGAACTACTTAGTTAAGTGTGTACTAAAGTTAAGAGCTACTAGAATTAATAACTGAGCAAACTTAACTTCAAGCTAGTGATAATAACAGAAAAGTGGGTGTTCATTATAAACTAGTAGTAATTAATGAGAAGAGTGTGCTTAATCTAAGCTAGTAATGAGAGTTTAAAAACTCACTTTTAACGACTAATGATTGTTGAGAAATGAGTGCTCACTATGTGGTGATGTATCCAAAGC